AATCTCAGTGTTGTTTTAATTTGCATTTCTCGAATGACCAATGATAATGAACATTTCTTCATGTATTTATTTGCCATTTGTATTTCTTCATCTGAGAAGTGTGTATTCATCTTTGATGCCCATTTTTGGATTGGGTCTTTGAATTTTGGGGGTCTGATTGTTTTCAATTCTTTATAAGTTCTAGATATAAGTCCTTTGTCTGAGAGGCAACTGGTTAAATTGTTTTCCAACTGTGTGGGTTGTCTCAGACACATAGAGTAGGTTTTCGGTTTTGGGAGACATGGTAGAGAATATTTTTCCTCTAGAACAGTGATGATGGAACTTTTAGAGACCGAGTGCCAAACTGCAACTCAAAATCCACTTATTTATTGGAAAGTACCGCCACTCCAGTGAAACCTGAATACTGAGGTTTTAGCTTAAAAAAACAACTCATACATTAACATTTTTGTCTTAAAAGAAAAACATATAGCATGTATGACATAGGTTTGCCACCACTGCTCCAGAATTTAACTTTGCTGAGTGTTGTTGGCTTTTGGTACAATAGGGCTGGCCTGACTGACATGTTGTTTTTCTAATTTTTTATGTTTTATCAGTACATGTTTACAGTATATAAAGATTACATGTATGATGGGAAGTGGCTACATGTACGTAACCCATTTTAATGCTTTTTACATCACCTCCCCCTCCCTACCCTCTCCTTTCCCCCATGTCTTGGTCCTCTTCCCATGTGCAAAGGACCTATCTTCCTGTTCCCTATTAGCTATCTTTTGTTTTGCTGTTTAATTTATTTATACTTTGGGTTTCTCATATAAGAGAAACCATGCAATATTTCTGTCTGATTTATTTCACTTAAAATTATGGTCTCAGATGTATCCATTTTTGTGCAAATGATTAAAATTGATTCTTACTTAGAGCAAAGTAGTGTCCCACTGTGCATAAATACCTCACTTTCTTTAGCCATTCATCTGTTGATGGACCTATAGGCCACTTCCAAGATTTAGCTATTATGAGTTTTCTGCTATAAATATGGGTTCATACATGACTGTAATATGATG